TAAGTATTTTAGAAGTATAATATTTAGGTAAATAAAAAGGGCAATTTAATAATTTAACTTTTAGCTTTAGGGGTTCATGCTTTTAATATAATATAGATTAGTAGAGTACAATAAAGAAAAAAGAACTACAATCATGACCAATCTTACATGATAATTCGTAGAGGTCCCCGTGAGTTAATTTCCTTTTCCGACCTCTTTATTACAAATATAGTTTTTCCATTAAATAAATAAAAATTATTGGAAGTGAAATTGCCGATCAAAGAAGACTACAAACTATTTAAAGTTTTCAAAAAAATATAAAAGAAGAAACATGAGGAATATCGAACTACCTTCTCGTTAATTATTCAATTTAATTGGAATACGAAAAGAAACAAAATAATAGGAATATGAAAAATAAATGAACTAAAGAGAATACACGATTAGGAATTTGAAAAAAAAAGGTCATAAAATAATTACACATAATATATTATATATCGGCATAAAATATGCTAAATAATTATAGGTAGGGAAAAAGAAAGATAAAATAAAGCATACAATAATATAAAGAACATGCAGAGCAATGACATTTTTGGAACATAGGGGAATAAAAAAGAATAACAGATAGAAACTATAGTGAGATATATCCAAAGATCACAAATAAATCGATAAAAAAAAAGCACATTTTAATTGATATCAAATTACCCTCTTATGGTCTATATTGTATAGCAAAGCAAACTTATTCTGCATAATATTCCAGAATCCACATGAGAATTAACCTCAAAAATTGATTCAAATACAGTATTTAATTGGAAAAAATAGACTGTATATGAGCGTTATAAGGTAGAAGACGAACCGGAGCATGCATTAATGATCCCAACTGTGGGACGCTATTTAGTCCAATAAGCCATCTCCCCAGAAATATGCAAAGCCTCACTATTGTGCAAGTAAAAAGTTAAATAACAGTACAATGAAATGAATAATTACCAAACTAATATAATGTGATTATCAAACTAGTATACTATACAATTATAATGAGAAGTTACCGGTTGAAAGCATGATGGAAGGTTATAATCACGTGTTTTAATCATAGTTAGCATTCAAATTACTGTATTTTATGTGTGTTTGAGCTTGAATGTTAGTGTATTGCACTTATTATGTGTTTTATCCCTTGCAAGAAGTGATTTCGAGTTAAAAAGATAATTTGGAACTAAATCAAACAAGTTGGAGCTTTGAAGTCTGAGTAAAAGCCCAAGGAATTAAACGGGGATCGCGTTCGGGGGTCGGGAGCCAAGTCTGACTGTTAGAACTGAAGTAAACAAAAGACTGTGTAAAATTTGTACTACCGCGCCACATGGGGCGGCACAACAGTGTGTTGGTGCTGCTACCCGTCAGAATTGTGCTCTCTGAACTTCCCCACTAATGCCCCGCATGGGGCGGTGCATAGGCTGGCGCGTCTGTGTGATTTCTCAGAGTCCTGTTTCGGCTTGAAAAAGATAGTTTCACCTGGGCCTACTCCTACATGGTATAAATACACCAAAAAGACAATTTTGAGGGAACTTTCAACCTTGGAAGCTTTGGAAGAGCATTGGAGGCTACAAGATACAGGATTTCATCATCTTTCCATCAATTCGATACGGGAGTTTGTATTGTAACGTTCAATTGATGTTTTCTTAATCTTTAATTATAATTATGATAACTTCTTCCATGATTATGGAGTAATTTCTATTAGGGTTTGACGGATATGATGTTTTGATCAATATTTGTGGATTTTAACTCTCTTTCATGCTTGAATTCGTTTATGGAGTTTTGAATTGTTGCAACTTTATTCACCAGTCTATTTAATTGAGAGATGAATATTTTGGTGATTATCTTTGCATTATTTTTTTTGATTTAATTCATTGATTCTCTTAAATAATCGAATGAGCTTGTTGAATTGTTGACTAAACCAATTTAGAAGAATATACGAGAGATGTTTTTCTAAACACTAATCCATTAACGCTTGCTTGCATACTTTTACAGTGCTTATATTAGTTCACATAATAAAGTTAAGATTTAATCGAAATAGGATTCTTGATTACACGTTTGAACTAATCATCGAGTGAATTCGTAAGAATCATTAGAACATTAGAGTGAATTAAGCGAGAGTTGAATCCCATATAGCTATCTTGTACCTATCATGTCAAACCCTTATTCCTCGCATTGATAAGAACCAACTCTGTGAATCTCCAATTCCTTGCTGTCAATTGTCAATTGTCTTGTTTTAGTACTTAAACGTAGTTCATAATCATTTAACTCAAGTGTTAATAGACGATATTTTACTATACTATCTTTGATTAGCGAGCATCAATTTTGTGTTGTGTTTTGCGCTCGTCAAATTTTGGCATTGTTGCTAGGGATTGGCAATCAATAGTGTTCAAATAGTTTTGGTGCTAATTCAGGAATTTTTTTTTATTTTGTTCTTCACGGGCTTCTCTTTCGTGTGCAGGCAACATGTTAAGTTCGTGGTGTATGACTCGATCTTCTTCAAAAGAAGTAATACCTTACAAATTGGAGCTGGAAAAGCACATGCGACAACTGAGGAAAGAGAAAGGGCTCACTGGAAAGTTCTTGGGGCAACCTTCAACCCAAGAACACATGGCTAATAAAGGTGATGATTAGGTAAATTTAGCTGCAAAAGAAGTAGCGCAACATAGAGAAGAAGCTGCTAGGATAACAGCTGAGGCAGTCCGTAGAGCTGCTGAGGAGACCGTCGAAGATGATATGGGTCGAAGTTGATAGGGGTTGAAGATTTAATCTAAATCGACCCTTGATTGAAGACCAGTTCGAGAATGTGGTACCCAGTCCTAGTAGAGCATTGTGTGATTATGCCAGACCAATCTACAATCAGGGACTGTCCAGTGTCAGACCTCCACCAGTAGCAGCGAATAATTTGAATCAACTTTAATGCTAATTTCTCACAAGAAAAAGACTACTTTGAATCATCCACCTTCAGGAGATATCTTCTTCAGGTGCATGGGACTAGAGGGGGAGATTTATGGGGTCTATCCCATAAATTCTCATGTGAAAGGAAGAGCTTTCCTTTGGCAAATATTGCACCGTCCAAATCCAAGCTTGCCAAATAAAGATTTGTCTGACAAGGAAAAGTCAAAAAAATGAAGGAAGACAAGTTTGGTTAAGTTTACTATTACTGATGTCACCACTGACATTTTTGAGAGGGTCTTCACCTCTATAAATAAGGAAGTTATCCTTCGGTTGTCAGACACACCAAACAGATAGAGTAAGAGACAGTTCACAAAATAAGAAGAAAATACTCTGTGAGGAAAATATAGAGAGTTTGAGCAGTATTATAATGAGGTGAAAAAAATCAGAAGAGAGTTATTTTCTTTGAGTGTGTAGTGGTTTTGGAGTATTTTTACTCGGTACCACAAATTGTAAAATCCTTGCTATAGTGAATCAGTTTCTCCTCTCGGGCCGTGGCTTTTCCCTTATCCAGAAGGGTTTTCCACGTAAAAAACTCGGTGTCCTTGTTTCCCTTATTTTTGCCGTTGGTTACTGTATCTTTAATAATTCGCATTTATTAGAATTATATACTGTGAATATTATTTCTGTGGGAGTTATTTTTTTCCAACAACTCTATAACATGTTTTTTTGCATTTCTTTTTCTCTTCTTTGTTGTGCAATAATTAGCTCCTTACACCGTTAATAACGAAGCTACTTTGTATTTATGTATAATCCTGCAATCACCACTTTCTTGATACTCAATGTGAATAAAATGATCCTTCTGAAAAGATTGATGAGCTCCAAAAAGTCGTAAAGCGAGCCAAAGTTACTTTTAGATGAAAAAGAAAAACAAAGTTCTTTTTTCAATTTTATTTATAAATTTTGGCAATAAAAGAATTTTTTTTATCCGTTTCATTTGATATTTTTAATTTGTTGGATACGATGTATAATAATGTAAAATAGGACAAACTACGTTCAGGAGGAGAAAGAAAACTTTGAATACAAGTATTAGCCCCATAATACTCCTTAAGTTAGCTTATGATGATCGTGATGAGTTTTACAAGAAGGAAAACAACTTTTCTATTCATAAATGAAAGTCCTATTCAAGGGGCATTGTGCCCTTGATTTTCGTTCCTTAGTTCAATCCAGAGTGTAATAGCGGCTAAAAAATAAATCCCGAAATAAAATATAAAATTATATTATCTCATGTCTGGCTATAGATACTAGCTAATAATGAAATAAATTTTATGCTAAAATGAAGGGATTAGCTACCTCATTTAGAAAGTGGAATAGCTAATCACATGGAGTATCCTTGTTTATTCCACTTGGTAACAAATGATCCCTTAATGTGTCTAATATGTAATAGCCTATTTGGCTAAGCTTCTTTCTGGCCAAATTTTTTTTTCTCTTTTTTTTTTTCCAATTTGGTCAAACTTTTAGAAAGAAAAAATATTTTTGAGTGAAAGTAAAAGTAGTTTTTGAGAACCACAAAAATATAGCATTTTCCCGAAAGCCCTTTTGAGAATACTTAGAAGCACTTTTTAAAAGTCCGGTCAAACACTAATTGCCGCTCAAAAGTACTTTTCAAATTAATTAGCCAAATACAAGTTGCTTTTCAACCAAACTGCTTTGTGATTTTTTTTCTTCAAAATAAGTTGATTTGAAAAGTTTGACCAAATAAACTATATATTTTGAAGTATTAAACATGTCATATCATTTTTATGAGCGGTTTAAGGAAGGTCGGAATTCAAAATTTAGGGCTTTTTTGGTACGAGGGATAAGAGATAATTAATTTCGGAATTAAATTTGAGATGAGTTTATCCCACGTTTGGTTGGGATAAAGTGATGGTATTACTAATATCTAGATTAGTTATCCCGGGACTGTATTATTTTTTGTCTCTATAAGAAAATGAGAATTACTAATACCGAAATAATTAATGATGGAATAACTTGTTTCATTTGTTAGATAATATAAAAAGATTCATTAGAAATCAGCTTCACTCAATTACTAACCGGGTAATAGTGTATTTACCGCTACCGTAATTCGGTGAGGTAATATAAATTTTCCTAGCAGCTGCAGTGCACCGTTTTTCCCAATTCCCAAACAGCGCCGAGAGATCAAGATGCAGGCAATCACGAGAAAATTAGGGCACCAATCTCTGAAACATTCACCTGCAATTTCATCTTTCAAATCTCTCTATCCTCCCTCTGATGATCACTGTATGTATCATTTCTCCCCTCTTTACGCATTTCTAGGGCAACTAAAGTTTTCATTTTTTCGATGAATTTTCCTAAAAGCGGTGATCTCTTATCGGATTGAGTTCTAGTGTTTCTTTTAAATTGTTGAGCGCATTCTATTATTTCAGATTATGGTTCGCGGTTCGCATCTAACGTTGCCACCAGTGGTGGCGGACATCTAGCTCGCAAGGGAACTGGTGGAAGATCATCTGTTAGGTAAAATACCATACGTCAAACCTTTTTCTTTTTAATTCTGGGGTTTATTCTTGTTTTTAATCTTATTTCGTATGTGTGTATAGATGGTACCAACTTGTTGAGACAATGGTTTAATCAAATTGGTACATTTACATTTGGTCGAGTGTTTTCCTGTGCAGGGATAAGTTTAAGATTTGATCTCTAGATTTAGATAACTGCTCGTTTTTTATAACCTTTGGAGAACTACTCCTTGTCTCAACTTATGTGATGCACTTTCTTTTTAGCCTGTGCGAAAATGGGACGGATGGATATTGTCTTACGAGTCAAATTATGAGTATTGAAATGAAAGGGGCCTCAAATAGAGCAAAATGGAAATATGGAATTTATATAGCGACTGTAACTAGTTTGGGATGAAGTGTAGGATAGTAGTTTTTGTAATCTTATACTATTCCACTAAATTTGATACATCATTTTTCGTTTCTTAATACTGTGATGGATTTTTGAATGTCTTTTTTACTCACTGTCATTTTTACTCACTTGTTTGGGATCAGGTCATTGTATGATTTGGGATTTCATGTTCTTTTTGCTTATTGGTTCTCTTGAATACCTACATGATGAGTTGTAGCTTTTTCTTCAGTGTTTTTATTGGTGCAGATTCTTTGTTTCATTTTGATGTGTGCAATTAGAAGTATGTGTTTGTTAATTTTATATGTTCTGTGAATCCATTGTTTGTAGTGGAATCGTTGCTACAGTCTTTGGAGCTACTGGATTTCTTGGGCGTTATGTTGTGCAAGAGCTTGGTAACCTCATATCCCCTTCACTTTAAAACGTATCATCTATAGGACGAAGTTACTTCAGCTAAATAGTGCTTGTTTTCCCTTTTTTGGTTTTCAGCTAAAATGGGCACTCAAGTCTTGGTTCCTTTCCGTGGATCCGAGGATTCTCCTCGTCATCTCAAGTTAATGGGTGACCTAGGACAGGTACACTGATAGTTGTGCTGCCATAATAGATCTTCTTTTATTTTATTGTGATCTGTTCTTTAATTTTTTTTTTAAATGTTTGAGCTTTATCTTAAGCAAACAGACACGAGTCACGATTACTTGTGAAAATGCTTCTCATTTTTATGAGGTTTCTGCCTCTCTTTGTTTAACTTGCCCAGATTGTTCCTATGAAATACAATCCCAGGGATGAAAATTCAGTTAAAGCTGTGATGGCAAAAGCTAATGTTGTGATCAATCTCATTGGTACGTCTTCTAGAATTCTTAGTCCGTGGTCCACAAAAATATCTTTTTAACTGTTGCGGTGATTTTAACTCTATGGTTCCAGGAAGGGAATATGAGACCAGAAATTACAGCTTTGAGGAAGTCAACCACCATATGGCTGAACAGCTTGCAATGGTAGGTTCTGTTTCTGTATTGCTTTATTCTATACTTAGATTAGTTGAATATCACTGAAGTAAGCTTCATGTTATTTTGAAAATACTTGCATTTTTTGGGTGATATGTTTCTGTTTCTGTTTCTTGATAAGTAAAATGTTGTCCAATGTGTCAACTTGGGTATTAATACTTGAAGACAATCTAAAATTAACTCATCAAGTCATTACAACTTGTTCCTTTGGTTTCTGAGAGTGGTATCATCTTCTTCTCTTTACAGATCCTGTGGTTCTCATTACTGTTGTTTATCTTAACTTGAACTTTGGTATTATTTGGACAAACCTCTTTTTCTTCTGTTGTTCAATGTTTCCCTTTTCCCCTTTTGTATGTCATTATTCAATATAACAGATTCAGAAAGATAAAGTTCTGTGTATGCGTGTGCAGACTGACGGTGCATCTGCCTATCTGCTTAACTGCCTTTCTGATCCTAGTTTGTGCACTTTGTGGAAAACAGAATTCTTCTGACCTAGCGAAGAACACGAATTTTCGCTTAGTTTCATTAATAGGGTGGGAATTATATGATTGAAAATTTATTACCTTTCTCATAAAAAAAAATAATAATAATAAATGTACTCCGGAGATGATAAGATTGATGGTGATATGATCACTGCCATGATATGAAATGATGAATCTGATGTTGCTTGCTTACTTTATGGTGTGCATATTTCAGGTGGCCCAGTTTGTGTCTAAGACCAAGTCCAAACCCATCAGAATAGCTTCAGATTTTTAAAACCAAAATCAGACCATGAGTAGTGAAAACACACTGTCTTGGTAGGGTTGACACTCTTGATCAGTTTTAGAAAATCAGTTTATTATATTATATTTTGTTTGGAAACAATTTTTGAGCCAAATTACTAAGAACATAACTATGGATGTAATTATGTAAAGAAGATTCACTTTTTAATCAAAGAGGCTTTAACGAGTACAACTAAAATATGATAGTTAAAATATGCATAATAACAAATTCCTCCAACAATTCGCAGAATTTTGATCTAGTGGTAAAAGCGCAACACATGCTGTGTGGGTTGGATGCATGTCACGGGTTTGTATCTGGCAAAAGCCTGGTATCTAAGTGGAGAATAGAGGATGATCCACTGAGCTTTGAACCGTGCGCCACTGGCCCTTGGTGATTTCTCGGTTATAAAAAACAGAGAGAAACAAATTCCTTCAACTAAAACGTTTTGTTGTAAATTCTGTACTTTTTGGTAGATTACTTATAGATGGGAGATTCTCTCATTATTTACCTTGTAAAAATCTTCAGAACCTAAAGTATGCCATTACCTAAAGTAATGTCAATTTTGATAACCTCAAAAAATAATATTTTCTCAACCAGTATAAGAAATTGAAACATGAATACTCCATTTATGCTATCACTATCTAATTTGTCCGTGCTTCGTGCTATCGTAAAAAATTACTATATAATATAACTACATAACTATAGTTATAAATTTTATGATAAAATAATTCTTTACAAAGTATAATAAAATAAGTAGCTTTAAGATAGAAATAAGATTTGTGAAGTCATGGTTTAGAGAGGCATGTAGCAAAAACCAAAAAATTTAACAAAATTTTGTGCAGAGCAAATATTCAGATGGACATAATATGAGTTGTTTGTAATGAATGTCGATGTTACACTATTAGCTGCAAATAAAGGAAGAAACAGTTTTGAAACAAAACGACTTATAGGGGAAGAGAAGCCAAATGAACTCGTTAAGATATCTAATTTGCTAAATATAATTTGCTAGATGGCGAATATTCAGATGGACATAATATGAATTGTTTATAGTGAATCTCGAGGTTACGCTATTAATTGCAAATAAAAGAAGAAACAGTTTTGAAACAAAACGAATTATGGGGGAAGAAAAACCAATTGAACACGTTAAGATATCTAGTAAATTATATATACATGAATTTTGGGCTTTTTAATTAATTTTTACACACATATATGTGTGTGTGTATATAGGCCAAAAACTCTATTTATTTTGTCCTAAAAGAGGTACCACATCACCTCGGCTATAGCCTACTTTATCTATATATATAGAGAGCGATTTGATGAAGATAACTGTTTGTTTGGGTATTACCATTTCATAATTATTTACAAGAAGTTTAGTAACAAGGGAACTAAAAACTTGTTGGTTGTTTCATTCTCAAGACCAGACCAACTAATTTTGGAGAAATTTCAAGTTTAATTTGATTCAGCTGGTTCTTGAAAATCATTTGCAACCCTTTTTGGTCACACTATTTTTGGTTAGTGTTGAGGAGGGCATGAGTCTATCCTATATGCGGCGATGAAGCTAAGAAGAAAATTGAAGGGTTGCATATGCCTTCCAGCCCCTTCAACTTTCAGCCCCTTTAAATTAAATCACATTTACTTTACTTCTGATTCTACCAAACAACACAAGTAGGAAGGATTAAATGGTTTACCAGGAAAAGTAAATTGCCCAGTCCCATTGTGTCATCCCCTCGTACGCAGTTTACCAACCGCAGAACAACTTTGTTAATTATTGAAGATCATCATCATTTCCAAATCTCAAAATATGTTGTAACTTTACACCCTTATTGTGCTAATTGAAAAAAATAAATTGTTTTTTTATGACATTCTAAATGGGCTAGAGAGTATTGGTTCTCTTAGAATTAAATGTCTGCATCAATCTCTCTTGCCATTGCTGTAACCAACCATGACACTGGCGACCTTGATGTCTTAGCTTCCATTTTCACGTCAAATGACGTGCAAATTAGTGATCATTTCTTCTGTCAGCTTTGTTGCTATAGTAAGATGATCTGAGGTTCGGGCCAGAGATGGATGACTAGGACTTAGCATATATTCTGGTTTAAAGTACTGGAAATGACAGAGAGAATTAAATGATCTACTACATTCACTATCTTCTGCTCTTTCTTTTGAAGTTGTTCATGAAGAGTGTTTTGCCTGTACTAGCATGTACTTCTTATGTCTGCAATGTTTCTGGTTGCATTTGATGATCTGCGACATTCACCATTTTCTGCTCCTTCTGAAATCGTTTGTGAAGAGTATTTTGTCTGAAAGTAATATGTACTTCCTATGTTGGCAGATTGCCAAAGAACACGGTGGTATCATCAGATTTATTCAAGTTTCTTGCTTGGGGGTGTCTCCTACATCCCCATCTAGAATGCTCAGAGCTAAAGCTGCGGCGGAAGAAGCTGTTGCACGCGAACTTCCTGAGGTGAAACATAGCCAAATTATGTTTAATCTATTACATGTACCTTTCAGGCTGCAATTACGCTCTTACTCTTCCCCCCACCTCCACCCCACCGCAAAAAAAGACATGTATCATATGGGCAGCCTTAGAGGCTCGTACAATGCGCACTTAAGCCCTGAAGTTCAGTTAAAGCCTGGTTGTGTGCTTAGCCTCACTTGAGTGGCGCTTTATGAAGGCGCAAATGTGTGCACCTCATCAACCACTGGCACTGTCTTTGAGAAGGCAGTACTAGACAACAAAATAGAACTGCATCTTTAATTTTTTATGAATTAAGCTCATTGATGGCATCAAGAAGATGCAAAAGTAGAATAAAAGAGAATCCAACAAAAAATGAGTGAGCTCCAATACATGAGAAGCTAATATAAGACCAGGGAGCTGACAAAGTTCAAAAAATTGTCAGGGGAATCTACAGGGGACAAATTGTGCCAAACTAAAGAGATACATTAAGCACCTAGCTTTAATAGAGTGATTTGGAGTTGATACACCATCAAAACACCTTCTATTCCTTTCTGTCCACAAACACCAAAAGAAGCTAACAGGGATCAGTCTCCAGATTCTCTTGATGGCTCTATGGACTTCTTTTTGATGAAGTAACTTGTTGATGGCTCTATGAACTTTCCGTGCCTCCAGTTTTCAAAGGATGCTTGATATGATAATTGAGAAAAACATTCTCCACAAATCTGAATGCATCTTTTCGTCTAAATAAATAAGTTTAAAATGGCTTTTAAGCTTGATTGACATAATATTTACTTTGTGTATTTCGCTTAATTATAATTATTTCAATTCTTGCGTCCAAAGTTGTTGTTGTGTTTGCAGTTATCTTTCCTTGCTTTGCATGTATCTATTTTATTTTTTCTTCGCCTAGCGCCTTTAATTTCGCTTCGGGAAAGCCCCAGCAAAATTTGGCTCTTTCCTGTGCCTTTCGCGATACTCTCTTTGTTTTTGGGTCGAACTTATCAGCTGTATTACTTTCTGCACCCATTTCGACACCTAGAGGCCCAAGAAGAAAAAGAGGACAAAAATTACAGTAAATGACTAGAAATAAGAAGTAATAGAAACTGTAATCAAAACTGCAAGACAATTTCTCTGAAGAAAAAGAGTTCTATGAGTTACATAACTGAGATCACAATATTACAATAGGTGATTTCTTTTTTTTCTTGATCAAGTAAATGTATTTTATTAAATAGGACCAAGAAGGTACACAAAAGAAGATGACTTCAAGGAATTCTAATTAAGTCATAAAGAAATTGTAGATCTCAAAGCAGGATCTGGTGTTCCTGGAGAAAGGAAATGGAGAATGGGTTAATGGTAAGTGGGTAATTTGGTGTTTGTTGTGGGGAGGGGAGGGGAGGGGATCAAACGGCAGTAGGTTGATGAATGGGGTAAAGAGCAACAGTCGGGGGTTGGTTGTGAAGACCAGTGGGGTAGAGTAACAATAGGTATGGGGATGAGGGTGAAGCAGTTTTGGTGGATAACACACCCACCAACTTTATGGCCACTGGACGGAATAGATGTCACCACAGTGAGATGCTGGGCCATAGTGGCTTGAAACAGAACACGGTGAAGCGGAGAGGAATTGGTGAGGAGGAAAATGAATTGGAAGAAGTTCCAGTTGTATACTGGGAAGTTCTTGCACCACGTAAACATAATTATTATCAGAAAAGGAATTGGAAGAAGTTTTCCCCTAACCTTGTATATGTGCAGGTAAAACCATTTCGCATTTACCTTTTGCTTGCTTAAAAAAAGAAAGGAAATTTTCATAACCTGATGGATATCTTATGTTGCTTTATTTAGTTATTTCTTCAAGTTACAATGTGCTTACTCCAGTCTCAAATATTTTCAATTATTGTTCTGGGGTGAAGTTGCTGATCTGCTCACTCATCTTCAGGCGACCATAATGCGACCAGCAGTGATGATTGGTACAGAAGATAGAATTCTGAATCCATGGGCACACTTTGCAAAGAAATATGGTTTTATCCCTCTGTTCGGAGATGGTTCGACAAAGTATGTGTCTGTAACAATTTGTTGTCATTCTTGGAGAATTTATTTAGCATCTATGGCTCATGCTCTTAGAAATGCTTTTGCAGAATTCAACCTGTATTCGTTGCTGATGTAGCTTCTGCAATTGTTGCTTCTTTGAAAGACAATGGTATTAGCATGGGAAAAGTTTATGAACTTGGTGGCCCAGATGTTTACACTATGCATGAATTGGTCAATATCTGCCCTATTGTCGTCTTTCCTTACTGCTTTTCCTGTTTTTAGTATCTCATTATTTAAATTAAATTGTTTAATGGAGTTCTGCTGATCATATTTTGCAACAGGCAGAGCTCATGTTTGATATGATCCGTGAATGGCCACGCTATGTGAATGTTCCTTTTCCTATTGCTAAGGCAAGTTCTTAAATAGATGGTTACCCTATGGCTCAATAACAACTTTTTGTCACTATTTATTATCTCTAACCAAGTTTTCAAACACATCTGCTTCTATATTTACTTTATATGTTTCTTGTCTTGTAAGTGGGTCTATCTGTTACTTTAGGTGTCTCATTTTTGGTTCATGGAAGTTTAGGATTTGGAAACCTGCTCGTATCTCTGGGTATGAGAATGTTGTAGTTCTTAACTAAGTGCTCCTTACGTTACCTGGTGCTACCTGCTTATTGTACATGATGAAGTTGGATTTCTAGATACAATAGAGGAACTGCACTTTTTGTTATTATGTCTTTTAGCACTGGCTTAGTGCAAGTATTTATAAATTTTTTGATTACTTACAAAATAAAAATAAGGTGCGCCGTATGTTACCTTTTGTGTGGCACTTTAGGTTTCTCCATTCACTCTTAGTAAAGAATTTATAGGAACCAATATCAGGATAGATGCTATAGTCCAACTGCATATATGACAACATATTAGGTTTCTCCATTGCAGATCAGATGTAATGGACCCAATAGTCTGTCTTTCAGAACTTGAAATGAAGCAAACTCAATTTGACTGCATTAACAGTAAGAAAAATTTAATCATTTTGACTGCATTAACATTAAAAAAATTTAATCAATTTGACTGCGTTAATCTAACAATAGCATGTAAATGTGATATATGGAGCATGCTATTTATTAACTTGGTAAACGCACAACCAATTTGACTACATTAATCTAGCAATAGCATGTAAATATGACACATGGAGCCTGCTATTTATTAATTAGGTGAACTCTACGAATTTTTCTACTTATTATAAAAAAAATTGCCAATATTCTTATATTAGCGCATGTATAAGGACAATGACTATTTTATTTGCAGTTTGAATTGAAGCAGAGATGTAAATATATTTAAACTTTAACAGCAGAGTTTGAGGTAGTTGGTGATAGAAAAAATGTGGAAGGTGTATGGTAAATGGAAGAATGGATCAAGGAGATGATATCTAGTCGAAATTAAAGGAGTAGTTGTTACACTCACAGCATTTGGTGTTTGATGGGAGTCCTTTTATTCTAGCTAGAGAATTGTAATTTGGTGTAGTGATAAGTGTGAATTCTGAACCTTTAGCTTTAGAGAATTCCCATTTTTTCCTTTAAAGAAAAATTATTCGGCATTGGCCTGAAGTAGAACTAAATATATATTGGGAGATACAAGGGATTCATGTAGCCAATTCTAAATAGTATGGAGTTGAGCCATAGTTGATTGGTTGATTGAGTGTGTGGAAATTTGTTTTTTTTTTGTGTGTGTGTGTGGTTGGGGGGGGGGGGGTTCATTGTGAGATTTTATATAATGCGTTAAAAAGTCAAGAACATTGTGGTTGAATACCTGAATACTTTATGAAAAATGTTATGTAGAATATTCTTCTTTTAAATCAGACTATTCTTCTTATTATCAGAATATTCTTAATGGTTATGTTATAAATTGAATGTTGAGAGGATCATTATGAATCCTCTTGAAAAAGAGAATCATTAAGAATATTATGTAGGAAGATCTTGATGATTATGTCAAATTGATAAATTTCATTAGCTCCTTACATTCGTCCTACATCAATGATCAAAGTTCTGCTTCAGTGATCAACAAAAGTTCTTAATGTTCTTTTGATAACGCTGTTGTCTGCGGCAGCTAGCACGACTACTTCAAAGGACACCGACATTCTTCCACCAGTAGAGATGCTTAGGTAGATTGGAAGGAGAAAAAAAACCACCTAGATTTTTTTGAGAAAAAATGAATCATGGGCTTCCATGGTTTTTCGTTCATGCTTCATAGACCGTTAGGCCATACTCTTGGTGCAAAAAAGATGATGATGATGATGATGATGATGATGATGATGATGATGATGATGATGATGATGATAAATAATAATAATAATAATAATAATAATAATAATAATAATAATAATAATAATAAAGTTATTAATTATTATGTTATTGCAGTTAGGCATCTCAAGGACTAGAAAACTTTTTTTTATTCTCATAGCTCAAAAGTTCAAATTTTCTGTATGAGGAGCTCTCTTAAATATTATTCATAACCAACTCACAACGAGAGATGTGTGTGTGTTGCTGTGGCTGACAGGCTTAGTGTGTCAGGGTTCATACAATCTTGGTAAGACTTACATAGTTCCTCCTACAGAAGGGCGACCATACATCATCCCACTAAAGTTATTCTTTGTTTTTATAGTTTTATCATTCTTGCTATTTTGGTGACTGTTCCAATGGCAATCTCCTCTTCTTGTGTATGTCTCTGATGTTCTCCGTTGTTCCAACTAAATCTCATTCATTTTACCAAGCCACTGACAATGGTGAAAATTTGTCCTTGAAGTCATTGGTCATACAGCTTGAAGTCTCTGGGTCTCAGCTCTAGTGATGTGTCTGTTCCATGTGCTTTTACACAACATCAATTGTGTAGGACTAGAGTCATCAGCGCTCTATCTTTCTTAGTGATATTCATGTTATCGTCAAATCATCACTAGACTATCGTGGATTCAATGATCTGGTCAATCTCTTAGTATTCTTGTCTGTCAACTGCTATGCATGTCCCATGCACATTATATCTCGTTGATGTATAATAGTACGATGGCCAAATCAGTGTCGCAGATTAAAATTATTGTGGTATCCATTTCTGATTGATAAACTCAGTTGCTTCGCTACATCGAGTTTTGGGAGGCATGTTGAAGGTCAAGAGAATTTTGAAGAATGTTGTGTAAACTATTAGTAGTGTATGTGTTTTAGTTAAAGTCAAAAGAATCACTAAGGATTTTTGTGTAACTTCTTAAAAAAATATTTGGGATCTCAATAATTGGAAATTTTCTTTGGTTCATGTAAATCATCTTCTTGTATAGGGAGGCTTCTTGTATGTTGTTAATTACCACTTGCAATTTGGAGTTTTCTCCCTTCTCTTTTCACAAAATGCAAAATAGCTCTCGCTCCTTTTCAAATTGAATACTCCTAAGTTTTATGATCGATTGTGCCAAAGAAAGTCCAATCTCCAAATAAAATATTTCACCTGTTATTACCTGCAATTATATACTTAATGAGTCACGATGCTAAAGCAGTTTTGGTCAAAAGTATGCATCCTGCTTTAGTTTGTTAAGTATTGGTTTCCTTTCATTGCAATGGTGTTTAAGGCACAAACAATTGTTTGGGGATAGTGTTAACAGACTTCCAGAGCCAAAGGAACTAGGGCAATTCTGTTTTATTTTCTCTCTCTCTCTCCCCCCTTTCTTTTATCGTCTAATTTAGTAAATTAGGACATATTGTCCTCCTTGGCATTCTTCATTTTATTTCAAGTTAACTAATCTCTATGTAAAAGGAAAAGAAAACATATTCTCATTAGACTGCTTCAATTTGTATTCCAACTAAAGAAATTAGAACAAGGTTATCTTAAGTGAGGAGGATACAATAAGATCTTCAACTTCAAAGCCGGTTAAAGCATTTTTCCGTATCTGGTTTGAATTGTTGTAGTTATGGAGGTGTTCTGCGTTCTTGTCTCAACTTTGTTGCTCTTATTTGGTCACATGGCATCAGTGATATGCAACCGGTGGAGGTCCTTGTTCTGTCCTTGCTGATAGTTCAGGATAGCATAGGGATCCTTGCATATGAAACTTGTTTGACATATTTACATTTTGGAGTTGGCTGTTTTTATTTCAGGCTCTTGCATCTCCTAGAGAATTTTTGCTTAACAAGGTTCCAGCTCCAATGCCTACCCCTACGATATTTAATCTGGATGCAATTGAAGCCCTTGCCACGGACAACATTGTGTCAAAAGATGGTTTGCCTTCTTACCTTATTTAATGTTTGACTATCCTTTGGCCATCTCATACATACGCATCCTTACCGTTCAATTTGTGGTTATTTTTCAGCTTTGACTTTTGAAGATCTAGGGCTTGCGCCACATAAGGTGAAGGGATATCCGGTTGAGTTTCTTATCCAGTATCGTAAAGGTGGACCAAATTATGGGTCAACTGTTAGTGAAAGAGTGTCTCCTGAATCTTATCCATGAAGTTCTTTGGTCTAGCATGAACGCCGTTTGGACCTTATTTGGAAGATTGGTGCAGGTAGTTGTTTCCTATGTTACAAGTTCCAAACTGAGAGGTGTATTATTCTGTTGTTAATTTTTCTTGCCTACATTGTAAACATTTTCATTGATCAATATATACATTTGTCACCAGTTAATTTCAGCTTCTTTTACAAGATTTCTGGAGTATAGCCGCGAGAACAGGAAAATAAATGCAAAGAGAGTTTTTCAGCAAATGCATGTTGTGTAATGCTGAGACCTACACTCTTTTTGGGGAAAGATGGAGTTGACTATGATTTTAGGTGTTTTTTGTGCCGTTGTCTCAAGGAGATTGTATTTTCTTTTTCGAGTTCACTTCTGTGTTCTCCCTTCTGTATTTCACCTAAGTAGTAACCAAGAAAAGTTGGAACATGATTGTAGTGTCAGGGTAAAAAAATATTATTTCAGTGTATTCCTTCTGTCCAACTTTTGCCATTGCTGTTCTTCTATTTGGCTGTCCAAATAGCCGTGTAAGTCTCCTAAATAAACAGAATACATACTTAAATACTTTACAATGCCAATGATGTCTTCCTGGTGGGAAATTTTTTCTTTCTTTTCAGGCTATGTAGATAGGAAGTGTAGCCATTTTTCATGAACATTTATTTATGCGCGTTGTGCGTTCGACAACTAGTTTAAATCTGAACGTCAGATGCTTCACTATTTACACCTTTAGCCTGTATTCTCTCATCAGATGTGAATCCTGGAAGAAAGTATTGATAGAGTGTTGATCAAGTTATTCCAAAAGGAGCATATGGTTTTCTTGTTGATTTAGGAAACCACTTTGCAGTTCATCCTGCAATATAAAATAGTCTAAAATTAGTGACCATTTGCTTCCGCAAAGTAGAGACAGTTGCTATCTCTTGTATTCATCGAAAAACCTCTTCATGTCAGCTGAAAGCGGATCATTCGAACATGTCAAATTGGAAGGAAGAAACGTAGGTGCAACGATGGTGGCACGACGTGGTGGCTGTGCTGGTGAATCACATGGCTGCTGCTGCATAAACATCTACATAAGCAACAACATTCAGGGTCTCAATAATTCCATCTTGGTTGGCAGCAAGGTGAAAATGGGGGATCCAGGTGTATGCTTTTCCATGAAAGATGTGAAATTTGATAGATGGTTTCGACAGGGGAAGAAGGGGGCCAAGAAGATAAAGGGTACACATCCACAAATCTTATTGATGTTGCTATTCACGTTTATTGCAGTTTTGTTTCTATTGTCATGTTTAGCCATGTGATCTATTCCTTTGTTGGCTTGGGGGTTGTCCGTAGGGTCCAACAGATGTAATTCGAGTTTTGTAGGTTCAACTAAATTTATTGCTTTCGCTTTATATATATATATATATATATACAAATACTAGATCTTGAATTCGTACGTGGACTCACTTGTCGACATCTTAGTTGGTACTGAAGAAAATCATTCTACAACAAAGCTTTCTCAGTTACCATGTGCTCATGCCTTCTTTGTGTTCGTGGGCCAAATAGGATCTGGTTTCAGTCTCTTTCGCTGTGTTGAAAAACTTGAAATTTTCAAGAGAGAGAAATTGTTCCAATAGAGTTCCAAAGACAATATCATGGCTGATCAATGAGCTTACCTGATTACGAATATCATTAAAGGAATAATTAGTTTCTGCTGTACTAGCTAGAAAGGACTTAACCTTTGCTCCACGGGGAGTACGTGACTACGTGTCATGTGTGTTCTGTGGAAAAAAAAATACGTGGCTCATATTATTAGATGAGCCCAAAATTTTCGATACAGAGGCAAAGGAAAAGACAAGGGTTGGTGTGAAGAGGAGCAGTGTTAGCTGTGGGGGATGAAAGCACATGTTGGCTTTCCAAAGAGTAAAAGACACAATACTATTTCACACCTAACTCAAAATTTTAGATTTGATTGCAATTTGAAAGAGTTTTTGACGTTATGTTTGAGAAATACATTTTAAAAGTTGGAGTTGTATTCGAACATGTATTATATTTGAAAAAAGAAGGTTAAAATTTCATGAGTGGAAGAAAAATATATACACAGTTTTTGGAAACTTGATTTTTTTTCTTCAAAAATTAATCAATATCTATGAACAAATAATGTTTTTAAATTCTTTTTTAAGAATAAGTAAGCAAAGTTTATAGTCAAATCGGAACTTAATTTTTTTAAATATTTGCTATGTGAAATCAACTGAACCGACTATTAGTGATAGTGCATGACCAGGGGCGGAGTTAGCCCATCGAGTATGGGTTCGACCAACCCAGTCATTTTGGTCTAATCCATATATATTTGTCTTAAAATATTTATTGAATAAGTATAAGTTATTAATATAAAATCCAGTAACTTAAAAGGATTAAAACTTTAAACTATGCTTGAAATCCCGGCTCCGCCACTGAGTGCATCTAACGGCGATAATTGGTTACTCTAAAACTCTTGTTATCAGTGGTGGAGCGTCCACCACTTTTGTTAAAGGCGTTAACTGACCTATGTACCTATGTTTTTTTCTTCTTTTTAGCATATATGCTACTTATTCCTGTTGAATCCTCTTGGATGTTTTATATATTTATTTTTTTATATTTTAATTTTTCTTAGTAAATATATTGCTTCCGCCAATACTTGATATATGAGGTAGAGAAAGACAAGACAATTTTTTAAAAAAAGGAAAAGGATGACCATTACATGTTTAATTCCTTGGATGATCACTCAAGTTATAATAATATTCTACTAAAATCACTTTTATTCTTTTTAGAACAAAAAAGTCATTCAATTATTATTTTTTAACTCAGAAAATACAAAGCACATATTTTCATACCATGTCATATCAAAACCTTTTTTTTCTAGTAATAATTCTCATTTAACTCATGACCTTAATACATATCTAACCTACCCAATAAAAAAATGAGTATGAGTCAAATATGACATGACATATCAAATATGTGCTTTTTATTTTTTAAGTCGCAAGATAGTAATAATTTAAGTGACTTTATTGTCCTAAAAAAAATAAAAATAACTTCGATAGGATATTCACATAAGTAACGTGAATGAATTATCTCGATGGCTACATAGTCTTTCCCAATAACCTCCAAGACAAGTAAGGTGTGTGATGCTCAACATCCAGAAAGGTATACTGCCCCCACATAACTACACACCCATGTGTATAAAGTTCTCCTGCCCGCTTTCCTTGAAATCTTAGCTCTAATAATGTCCACAACTACATCCCACCCTCCTTTCTTACTCCATAACCCAATTTAGTGCTAATTTTTTTTGAATATTGAACCTATTAAGTTTAAATTTTAAATCCGCTATTATTGATGTAAGACGACAAATAAAACAACAACATATCCAGGATAGTGTGTACGGAGACCTTACCCCTACCTTGTGAGGATAGAGAGGTTGTTTCCAATAGACCCTCGGCTCAGGAAAGCATAAACATCACAATAATGAAAACATAGACAAGGGACAGTACCAAAAAGCCATATAATAGCAGAATAAAAACAACAAGACAGTAAGGTGATCAACAATGAAAGAAAACAACGGTTGGTCATAAAAATCTACTACCAACAGAAAGCGAGACTGCGTGTCAATACTACTGTTATATGAACACTCTAGACTGCCTACTCTACTATCCTAATCCTCGACCTCCATACCTTCCTATCAAGGGTCATGTCCTCGGTCAGCTGAAGTTGCACCATGTCTTGCCTAATCACCTCTCCCCACCTCTTCTTAGGCCTACCTCAACCTCTTCGTAGGCCCTCCAATGTCAATCTCTCACACCTCCTCAACGGGGCGTCTGTGCTCCTCCTCCTCACATGACCAAACCACCTAAGACGCGCTTCCCGATCTTGTCCTCAATAGGAGCCACACCCACCTTGTCGCGAATAACCTTATTTCTAATCCTATCTAACCTGGTGTGCCCGCACATCCATCTCAACATCCTCATATCTGCTACCTTCATCTTCTGGACATGAGCGATCTTGACTGGGCAACACTCAGCCCCATACAAAATCGTTGGTCTGACCACCACACTGTAGAACTTACCCTTAAGTTTCGGTGACACCCTCTTGTCACCCAAAACACCGAAAACGAGTCTCCATTTCATCCATCCCGCCCCAATACGATGTGTGACATCTTCATCAATCTCCCCATCCCCCTGAATAATAGACCCAAGGTACTTAAAACTCCATCTCCTAGGGATGACCTGCGAGTCCAGCCTCACCTCCCCTTCCTCTCCTTGAGTCTCGCCACTGAAATTACACTCCAAGTATTCTGTCTTGGTCCTGCTCAACTTGAAACCTTTAGATTCCAGATTCTGCCTCTATATCTCTAACTGCACAATCACATCGTCTCGCGTCTCGTCGATCAATACTGTCACGACCCAAACTACCATGTCATGATGACGCCTATCGTGGTACTAGGCAAGCCGACTCTTTACCAAAAACAACACGATATTTCATCTTAAAGATAAATTCAGGCTATTTAATAATAAAACTCCATAAAGAAATTCTAAATAACGAAAGTGCGGAAAGAAAAGCCCGACATCGGGGTGTCACTTGTCATGAGCATCTACTACAATTTGTCCAAAAATACTGAGACTAACACAGTCTGGAAAGTAACTACAAACAACTATAGGGAGATAGGAGGGAGAAGAGCAGGGCTGCGATCGCCAGCAGCTACTTTGCTAACTCCGAGAAGATCTACAGCTGGAATAGTCAACAGCCGCTACCGGGTCCTTATACACTTGGATATGTACATAAGGTGTAGGGAGTAACGTGAGTACGCCAACTCAATAAGTAACAACATTTAATAAAGGCTGAGTAGTAGTGACGAGCAATAAAGCATTTAAAGTTCATATTATGAAAGCTCAGCAAAATACAACAGGATTTTAAAATCAGGTTTTAGATCAAGTCATCTCGTTTAAACCCAATTCTGGTAAAAATCATTTAAAGATATTTTTCAACAGTTTTCAACAAAATCTCAATGCAAAGGAGAGCAAAATAATGAAATCATAAACCGCCCTTCGGGCAAAACATCACTCATATACAGCCCTTCGGGCAAACCTCACAGTCACTCGTATATAGCCCCTCGGCATACCTCACCATCACTCATGCCTCCAGTCACTCAGCACTCGGCACTCGCACTCAATAGGTACCTGCGCTCACTGGGGGTGTGCAGACTCCGGAGGGGATCCTTCAGCCCAAGCACTATAACAAGCCAACTCGTAGCGTAAATCAATTAGGCCCTCAGCCTCACTCAGTCATGAATCAGTAAAACATGTTGCGGCGTGTAGCCCGATCCCATAAATATCCTCTCAAATCAGGCCCTCGTCCTCACTCAATCATAAACCTCTCAAGCCCCTCGGGCTCTCAGTAAAAACAGGGTACTCAGCCCAAAACAACATTTATTTGTATCAAAATAGAGTAATAAAGACTAAGTTATGAAATTAATAAGTATAACAAGACTGAGTATGGATTTCCAATCGAAAACAATGAGACGATAGCTATAAAAGACCTCTAAGGTCCAAACAACACTGGCATAAGGCCTAAACACGGCATCCAACCTGATTTACAGAAAGTCTTTCTAAATAAGTGAGAAACATGTAATTTCAACAAAATATTCAACTTTACAGTAGATACGGGACGGACCAAGTCACAATCCTCAACGGTGCGCGCCCACACGCTCGTCACCTAGCATGTGCGTCACCTCAAAATAGTAAAACAATACGAAATCCGGGGTTTCATACCCTCAGGACTAGATTTACCATCGTTACTTACCTCAAGCCGATCAAATCCTACTCCGCGATGCCCTTGCCTCTCGAACCGGCCTCCAAATGCCTCGAATCTAGCCATAAAAAATTCATTACAATCAACACGAGCTAAAGGAATCAATCCCATAAGAAAATGCTAAGCTTTAGGCCAAAAGTCAGAAAGTCAACTCAAAAGCCGACCATGGGGCCCACGTCTCGAAATCCGAAAAAAATGCAAAATCCGACAACCCATTCGATTATGAGAGGAACCATACTAGTTTCACTCAAATCCGACTTCGAATCGGCTTACAAATCCCAAAAATTTATTTTTGTGAAACTCCACCAATTTTTCCCAAATTAAATCCCAAATCACGAATCGAATGATGAATTCAATGATATATTCATGAATATTAGCCAAAACCGAGTTAGAATCACTTACCCTGATTAATTTCGTGAAAAACTCTCAAAAAATCGTCTTAAACTGAGCTCCCAAAGTCCAAGATGTGAAATAAAACCTTAAGCCTCGCTTATATAGTGCTCTCTGAACCTTCACTGTGCGGTCCGCATAATCCTGCCGCGGCCGCGGGTCCTGAGCCATTTTCCTTTCGCGGTCAGCATAAAACTCACTGCGGCCACACACCCCTCACTACAGTCTGCATAATTTTGTCGCGGCCACATAACACCTCCGCGGTTCGCACCAATTTTGTGCGGTCCGCACTTCCAAGACCAGAGACCAGATACCAGAGATATGCCAAGTTCCAAAACCAACTAATGATTCGATAACCACCCGAAACTCATCCGAGGCCCTCGGGATCTCAATCAAGCATACCAACACATCCCATAACATCATTCAAACTTAGTCGAACCTTCGGATCACCCAAAACAACATCAAAACACCAAATTACCCTCGGATTCAGGCCTAAGAACTTCTAAACTTCCAAATTCCGTAAACGACGCTGAAACTTATCAAATCACGTCCGAATGACCTCAAATTTTGCACACAAGTCAAGTATGACACCACGAACCTATTTCAACTTCCGGAATTCCATTCCGACCCCGATATCAAATTTTCCACTGTCGATCAAAATCGCCAAATTTCCAACTTTCACCAATTCAAGCCTAATTCCACCACGGACCTCCAAATCACATTCCGGACGCGCTCCTAATTCCAAAATCACCTAACGGAGCTAACAGAACCATCAAAATTCACATCCGAGATTGTTTACATATAAGTCAACATCCGGTTGACTTTTCCAACTTAAACTTATAAATAGGAGACTAAGTATCTTATTTCACTCCAAAACCGCCCCGGACCCGAATCAACCAACATGATACGATAAAAATACAGCTGAAGAACACAGAAGGAAACAGAAATGGGGGAAACGGGGCTATAACTCATGAAACGACCAGCCGGGTCGTTACAATACAATATCATCTGCAAATAGCATACATCACGGCACCTCCCCTTGGATGTGGCGCGTCATTACGTCCATCACCAGAGCAAATAAAAGAGAAATGAGTGACGACCCTTGACGCAACCCCATCATAATCGGAAAATGGTCCGAGTCTCCACCCACCGTCCTCACTCGGGTCTTTAATCCATCATAGATGTCCTTAATCAACCTAACGTAGGCAACAGGTACACCTCTAGCCTCCAAACATCTCCACAAAACCTCCATCGGAACTTTATCATACGCCTTTTCTAAGTCGATGAACACCATATTCAAGTCCTTCTTTCTCTCCCTATACTGCTCCATCAATCTCCTAACAAGGCAGATGGCTTCTGTAGTCGAACGCCCTGGCATAAACCCAAACTGGTTCTCAAAAATAGACACACTCCTTCTCACCCTTAGCTCTACCACTCTCTCCCAGACTTTCATAGTATGGCTAAGCAGTTTGATACCCCGATAGTTATTGTAATTTTGGATATCACCCTTGTTCTTGTATACAGAAACCATCGTGCTCCACCTCCACTCTTTGGGCATCTTCTTCGTGCTAAAAATGACATTAAATAACCTAATGAGCCACTCCAAGCCTGCCTTGCCCGCACTCTTCCAAAACTCCACCGGGATTTTATGCGGCCCGGTCGCTTTGCCTCTGCTCATCTTACGCATAGCCTCCTCAACTTCATCAACTTTAATCCGCCTATAATACCTAAAGTCACAGTGACTCCCGGAGAGTTCCAAATCACCCAGTACAATGCTCATGTCCCCCTCCTCGTTCAAGAGACTATGGAAGTAGGTCTGCCATCTCCGACAGATAAGCCCCTCATCCAACAAAACTCTACCTTCTTCGTCCTTGATGCACTTCACTTGGTCCAAGTCATGCGCCTTCCTTTCTCGCGCCTTGGCTAACCTGAATAACCTCTTATCCTTACCTCGGACCTCGAGTTCCTCATACAAACGACTAAAAGCTGCAGTCTTGGCCGCCGTAACTGCTAGCATTGCTCTTACTTAACCAACTTATAATGCTCCCTATTCGCCCTCTTCTCCTCCTCATCTACACTTTCCACTAGCTTCAGATACAGTGCTTTCTTAGTTTCCTTTTTTCATTATAGTTCTCCATTCCACCGCCAGTCTCCCTTGTGACCACCAGAGTAGCCCTTTGAGACCCCTAATACCTCTCTCGCGGCTTCTCTAATGCACTACGCAGTCGTGGTCCACATAGCGCTTGATGTAAGACGAGAAATCAGAAAACAAAACAAACTAGTATAGGATCAAGTAACTCTAGTTGCTCTACTATCCTGCTTTTTAATGCACTAATCAAATCCCCCCCCCCCCCACCCCCCAGGGGCTTCAGTACATTATTACTAAACAATGTAAGTAATACAGTCAGACATTTCTATAACAACATCCCTATATAACAACACTTCACTATGAAAGTCAAGTTTTTCCGAAACCAATTTTTATGTTATGTTATAATATATGTTATCTATAACAGCACTTCACTATAACATTTAAAAATACTAGGACAAACGAGGCTATTATAGAAAGATTTGACTGTATATATAACCTTCTCTACTTTGTTACCGAGACATAGTAAATTTATGTGATTTAATGCAAGTATCATGCACCTGTATGTTCTTCCTAATTTGAACTTGAGCTTTCAATTATGAAATCAAAACAAGGAATTTCAACTTGATTTATGACCGTCGTAGCCAATAGGCCATTCCACGATGAATAGCAACATATTTATACTCTTAGGGGTCGTTTGGTAGGGTGCATAAGAATAATGCTGAATAGGGTGTATTAGTAATGCTAGTATTAGTTATGCTTGCATTAGTTATGCTGGTATATTTTTTATCCATTGTTTGGTTTGATGTATTAAAGCATTGCACAATTTCTAAAAGAATTGTTTGTTTACAAAAATGCCCTCAAAACCAGTCCATCACTCTAACCTTTTTAAAGAAACATATGTTGAGAAAGGTTTTTATATGAAAAAGTTTTAAAATAATTATTTGATTTGTCTACCTATATTGTAATATAGAACTAAATATTTATTTATAAAAAAGGAAATATATATGCTAAGCATTTATTTATTTACTAGAGATATAATTTTATTTCTCACTATTTAGATTATTTTAAACTTGCATTAATATAATAACTAGCATATTTTAATCAATCATAACATAAATTTTGAAGGACAATTTTGTCTGTAACTAAGCTAATGCATGCATTATTAAGCCATTGCATTGCTAATACCATGGTTTTCTATGCATTAGTTATGCATATGATAATACCAAATAGGATGTATAACTAATGCTTGCATAACTAATGCATATGTTCAAAATGTCTATCAAACAAGGTATTATTAATACATAAAGCTAATTAATGCATTATTTTATCTAATGCATCCTAGCAAACGGTCCCTTATTTCTTTCAGACCAGTCAACTGTTGACATTGACCAAGTATTAATTAATAATCATGTCACTACCAATCAATTTATTAAAAAATTCCTTCGGGGACACCTGATAAGGAAAAAAGACAAGGAATTAAGTATAAGAATACTAATCATTGTCCGAGAAGTATGTTCGAGCTTTTAAATATAGTTAAACATATTCCAAAATTAGATTAAACTAATCCACTCCAGGCCTAATCCCCATTAAGAAATACTGTACTAAACATTTACAACTAGCGCCGGCTTTTAATTAATCGACGACAGATTTCATACATTAAGGACCCATGAAAGCAGCTTTCACCAATCACAGAAGACACGTGTAAAAAGACTAATTTATTATTATTTTCACCTAACAAGACTAATTAAATCACCAACCTAAATGGTGTCACGATATTTGCTGAATATTGATATTAACTATCTTCTCTTTTTCGTCCATTGTAAGACACCTGTTATTAAATTTGTTAAAGTGGTCACCGACACAGCAAATAATATTTGGAAACAGACATGAGACACGAAACATCTTAGTACTTCCATCATTTTCTTCGATACTATAACAGTTAATGGCCCCCCAAAAAGCGTTTTTATTTTTCTAGCCCTCATTTTCATTTTCTTCTTTTGCTGTAATATTTTCCCTAAAGTTGGAATATATATATATATAAAGCTCTAGAACTGTTTGTTTTTTTTTCCCCTGAAGATTCGCTTCATAATTCAGTTAAGTCCCTCTTACATCTTGATTTTCTCCATCTGTTGACGTGCTAAACCCCCCGCAATTCACTGATTTCTCTCTCTGCTGGTTTATGACTAGTCCCTTTTTTTTCTTGGGAAATATCGCACTATTTTAGTTTTTTATTCTTTAGCTTTTTTGAACTTGGGTTTTAGGGTTGTTGTTGTGCTTGAGAATTAGCACCATTTTAGTTGATTCTTGAGATTTTCTGAAGTGGGGTTTTAGGGTGGTAGTAAAGATTCTGCCTTTTTCATCATTTATGAGATAAAAAGGTTGAATTTTGGTGTTTTACGTGAATATAATTTAATATAATCTGATGAGGCGCCGGTCCCCCACGTCCCAATCTTCAGATGATTCAATGGAGAAGGGACAAGGCAAAAATCATCACCCTAGGGTTTGCTTATTAGCTTCATTATCAGGTTTGTTTTGGTTCTTGTTGTTGTATTTCCATTTTGTGGTTCTAGGGGATAATCATGCACACAATTCACCTAGTTTGGATCCAATTTCCCTCAATTCACAATCAATCAGTACCCCTCAATCTGTTCCCATTAATCGTCCTGTCAAGCTTCGTCGCGCTAAGATTGAAATTCATCGTGAGTTAGCACGTCCTAATGCATCCATGATCAATGCACAACCACCTAATAGTTCTCGTCGTGATCCTGTTGAAAGTTACCCTTTTATGAGAGCATTGAGAACTGTAGAGAATAAAAGCGATCCGTGTGGTGGAAGGTACATTTATGTGCATGACCTTCCTCCAAGATTCAATGAAGATATGCTTAAGGAGTGCAAAAGTCTTAGTCTTTGGACCAATATGTGTAAGTTTACCACTAATGCTGGGCTTGGCCCACAAATGGAGAATGCTGAAGGTGTGTTCTCCAATACTGGTTGGTATGCGACCAATCAGTTTGCGGTGGATGTCATTTTTGGCAACCGGATGAAACAGTACGAGTGCCTCACGAATGATTCCTCCCTCGCTGCTGCCATTTTTGTGCCTTTTTACGCAGGTTTTGACATTGCTAGGTATCTTTGGGGTTACAATATATCCATGAGGGATGCTGCTTCTCTTGATTTGGTTGATTGGCTACAAAAGAGGCCAGAGTGGAGTATCATGGGGGGAAAAGATCACTTTCTTGTAGCTGGTAGGATAACATGGGATTTCAGAAGATTGAGCGATTCAAATTCGGACTGGGGCAACAAGCTTCTTTTCTTACCCGCTGCAAAGAATATGTCGATGCTCGTTGTTGAATCAAGCCCATGGAACGCAAATGATTTTGGTATCCCATATCCGACATATTTCCATCCAGCAAAGGATGCGGAAGTGTTCATTTGGCAGGACCGGATGAGGAAGCTGGAAAGGAAGTGGCTTTTCTGTTTTGCTGGTGCACCACGTCCCGGAAATTCTAAATCGATCAGGGGGCAGATCATTAACCAATGCAAGGAATCTAAAGTCTGCAAGTTATTGGAGTGTGGTCAAACAGCGGAGAGCAAATGTCATTCTCCCGCCAGTATAATGCAGATGTTTCAGAGCTCCCTTTTCTGCCTGCAGCCTCAGGGCGATTCATATACAAGGAGGTCGGCTTTTGATGCTATGTTGGCCGGTTGTATACCTGTCTTTTTCCACCCGGCTTCTGCCTACACGCAGTATACGTGGCATCTCCCGAAAAACTACTCAGCCTTCTCTGTTTTGATTTCTGAGAATGATGTTCGAAAGAAGAATGTAAGCATAGAGGAAAGGTTAAATCAAATTTCTCCTGAGAAGGTGAAGGAAATGCGGGAGGTGGTTATAAGTATGATTCCAAGGCTGATCTATGCCGATCCTCGCTCTAAATTGGAGACTCTCAAAGATGCTTTTGATGTAGCGGTTGAGGCGGTTACTAGTAGAGTTACAAAGCTAAGAAGAGACATCATCGAAGGTCGTAAGGATGATAACTTCATCGAGGAGCTCAGTTGGAAATATGCATTGCTGGATGAAGGGCAACGTGAGCTTGGACCTCATGAATGGGATCCTTTTTTCGAAAAACCAAAAGATGGAAGTGCAGAATCTGATAGTTCATCAGCAGAAGCCGCTAAAAACTCTTGGAAAAACGAACAGGGACAAAATACATGATGTGTTTTTTCTTCTTCTTTGACAGTCTACGACTCATCGCCACGGCTTAGAATGAGAGAACTGGCTACACATGAAGTTTAGCTTCAGAGTAGAATCAACCTTTTGATGAAATTATAAGAACTTTGTGCAAAGGAAAAACATATAGTAATACATTATCCTGCTTCTAATATAAATGCTGTTGTTGTTTTTTCCAATTCTACGTTATTCGTTAGTCAGTATTAGCAATAAAATCTATGTCAATACTTTTGATCACCAAATGATGTCTGCTCAATTAGGAACTTGTGTCATTTGATTTTGTGTTATTTCAGTCATGCCTCCTATAGTTAATTGCTGGGACAGAGTACCAGGTTGAACATTTTGGCTTTTGTCCAATCCTGTTGGGTTAAGATATATTGCAAGCAGTGGGTACTATAAACGCGTATTACAATTAACTAGGGTGTATTATTATTGTGGTTTGTGTAGTTGGTTCTCAGATTTGTTGGTTATCTTGCTGCTAAAGTTCTGGATATCTAATAGTCTGGTGTGGAGCAATAGGTATGATGCCCCATGTAAAAGTTTTGTTTATACTAATAAGTAGTAATTTTTCTTCTGCCATTCTCTGTTATTTAACTGCATAAAAAGGCAACTTCTTTCCTGCCTGGTAAGTTGTTCCCATCTCTTAAGAACAGAACCCGCGTATTAGTCAAATCTCATATGAACTGAATTGTATTTTGCTGCAATATATGTGTGATTACTATTCTGGAAGCAACACCGAAAGTGCATAACATTCAGTTTACTTGGTACCTTTGCTAGTGCGAGGTAGCAGGTATTGGTGGAGTGATCGAGATGGGTGCTTATTTAGAAAGTACATAATATTGAGATATATTCTCATAGATCTTTCTTGCTTTAATTTTTTCAATTTGTGTGCATGTATATTTGATTGTACTTTCAAAATGTGATATCATGAATGATATAAAAGTTTGGTCAAGTAGTAGAATCGTCGGAGGATGACATGGAAATTCGGCCGTGTGACTGGTTGCAACTTGCAAGGGTTAGAATGAAGCAGTTGTGTGTTATGTTGAGGAGGCAAACCCGAAAATAAAGAAGATAAAAAACATCAAATTTTAACGTGGAAAACCCTTCAAATCGAAGGTAAAAACCATGGGATCACAAAGATCCAAAAAGCTCCACTATAATAATAAGAGGGTTACAAAAGTTCTCCCAATTGGCTACACAACAAGGGCCAAACACGGAGCAACAATAGCAACAAGAGCAAAAACTAATCAATTGAAGAAAGAGTATAATCCACAAAAACGAAGCTGCTGTTCGAGGCTCGAAATCAGATGCTACGAGCCTCCAAATCCGATCTCCACCATTCAAATCCAAGACCAAGATGTTACGAACACTCAGTCAAAATTTCAGCCCGATCCAACGGTTAACAAATCGAAAAACGTGATTTGAAGTTGGCTGGTCGGAATAAAAATCTGCAGCAAAACAAATACGTTTCTTCTCTCTTCTCTCTTGATGAAAGCTCTCTCTAAACCACTCTTATGTGCTTAAGTCTTTCAAAGACTTGTATCAATGAGCATATAATAATTCTCCAAGGTTGTCCTATTTATAGATCATGAGTGGTACTTTCTCTTAAAGCCAAAACCCACTCAAAATAAGAATAAACCGAATCCAATTCCAAATAGGAATGGAAACCAAAAGAGAATAGGATTAGGCCATTGGGCATTTGGCTGGACAACATGGGCATGAGCCCAACACTGTGATCATGTTATATGACTTTGTAAACCAGCTAATGGTTACGCACAAAGTATAGTATAAGAAAATATTGAGCTTATACCACCAAAATGGCTAACGTAAGAAAGACGAGTGAAGACTTGCCTATTCTGCCGTGTCACAGATCAATCAGTATGACCATATATTCAGCAATACTATTAGTCTTTACTCTTTAGTTGCAGCTGGCTCCGTCAGGAGATTACAATTTACCGAAAACACACGTCTAACGCGGTCGCAGTGAAGGATGACTAGTTTAGCTGATTTTTCCACATACACACACAATTCCAGCTATATGACTCCCAAAAGAACTATAGAAAAAGGAAAAGGAAAAATAAACAAATGGTTTAAATGCAAGACATAACTGTATGATAAGCACAACTGTATAGTTACGTTATGAAAATAAACAAACGGAGTTATGGTTTTGACTTTAGCAAATTGGGCTATGACCTATTCTTCAACTCAGTGTTACCTCATCTCATTTTGACATAAGCAAAGATTAAACCCATATTAATCCACCAAAAATTTAATCAAATACACCTATATTTTTGTAGTTTGTGTAGTTGGTTTCTCAGATTTGTTGGTTGTCTTGCAGCTGAAATTCTGGATGTTTAATAGTCTGTTGTGGAGCAATAGGTATATGCCCATGTAAAAGTTTGTTTATACTATAAATAGTAATTTTTCTTCTTCTCGTTGTGCCAAACTCTGTTACTCTATCTAACTGCATAAAAAGGGAAATTCCTTCCTGCATGGTAAGTTGTTGGTATTGAGGACAAGACAAGCTAACAGATTTGCTTCTAAAATTGTGGTCCATCTCTTACGAACTGAACTTATATATAGTAGTACTAGTTATATACACTTAAGAACAGAAATATATATTTTTCTGCAATATATGTGGTTACTATTCTGGAAGCAATGCCAAAGGTGCATAACATTGAAGTTACTTAGTATCTTTTGCTAATGGAGAGTATCAGTGGAATAGTCGAGGTGCGTGCTTACTAAAAAGTGCATAAGACTGAGATATGTGATAGTATCTTTCTTGCTTTAGTTTTTCCTATGTTTGTGTATGTGAGTTGATGTATATTGATTTTCCTTTCAAAATGTAATATCATGAATGGTAGAAAAGTTTGGTCAAGTACTCCTTCCGTTCCAATTCATGTGAACCTGTTTGACTGGGCACGGAGTTTAAGAAAAAATGAAGACTTTTGGAATTTGTGGTCTTAAACAAGTCAAAAAGGGGCCCAGAGTATTTGTGTGGTTATAAAAGCTTCTCATTAAGGGTAGAATTGTAAGTTGAAGCTAAATTGTTACCAAATTTAGAAATGGGTCATTCTTTTTGGAACGGACCAAAAAAAGAAATAAGTTCACATAAACTGCAACAGAGACATTAAAATAGTCGAAGGATGCATGGAAATTCGGCGTATGGGTCCAAAAGCAGCTGTCTCTTCGACTCAATGTAGAAAAACAAAATAGATGAAGAAAGAAAACTGGTTGCAACTTACAAGAGTTAGAGTGAAGCAAATGTGATCATGTAAACCAGCTAATAGTTACGCACAAAATAGCGTAAGCAAATATTGAGTTTATACCATCAAAATGGCCAACGTAAGAAAAAACGAGTGAGTGAGCCCCATGGCTCTAAGTTCAATGTTGAGAGACTGGTGATCTACATACAGGTTCGAGTCCTGCACCATGTGATATTTAAGTATTGGCGTAATACATCTAGAGACATTTAAAGTTGGCACATCTTTCATTTAGACACCTAAACTGAAGGTTGTTCCTATTGAGCACTTATACTACAGTGTTTCAATTAGACACTTTTTTGACAATTAGCCAAACTTACCAGGTGTGTGCAACGCACTCGCGGCTGACGTGGCGAATGATAATAAAAAAAGAGCATATACCCAATCAGAAAATGACATTCTCAAAAAGAAAAAAAAACTTTAATTTATACCCAATCAGAAAATGACACATTATTAACAAAAGAAAAGAAAAAAAGGGCACATTGGTATTCTTGGTGTTCTTCATTATCTTTATGTCTATTATTGTTCCAACCACGATTTTAATCCAAAATTTCAAGAGAAACTTCTCCAAATTTGTTATAACTTCAACTAAAGATTCCCTACCAAATCTTGAAGACAACCCCAATATTAATTTCTCAATTTTTCATCAAATCAAGTAACCCATTTTAAACTTTCAAGCTTTCTTAAAGACCCCATTAATGGTGTTTTTACTTTAAATGAAGAATATGGTCCTACTTCGGTTTCAATCAACTGAGATGGTTGTTGGTTCAAACTTTCGAGCTAAATTAATGGTGGAGGCACAACAACGGTGAAAGTGGGGGATACAATGGTGGAGAGAAAAGAAGAAGAAGAAGAAAGAAAAAGAAAAAAATGAAGATAAAATCTGTTTTTTGGGCTCTTCACGCGCCTATTTTGGGTAAAGCTCACTTTATGTGCCAACTCAGCAAAAAGTGTCTAATTGGAACAAGTTTAGTAGTATAAGTGCTCAATAGGAACAACCTTCAGTTTAGGTGTCTAAATGAAAGATGGTGACAACTTTAAGTGTCTTCAGATAGATTACGCCTTTAAGTATTCCCGAGTTTCGAAGGTTGCAGTTGGTCCTAACATTGGCTCCATATGGATTCCTCGGCCACAATAAAAGACTGAGCCTATTCTGCAATAGATGACTAGTTGGATAACTTAAAGATAGTTCATAAGGTTGTCAAATGAGATTTTTACCAAGCTCACTAGAGAGGTTTTAACTTAATTACAATTTGATATATAATTTACCAATTATATATGTGATAATTTAATATCCCTAAATTATAGGGCTTAGCTTTCCAACGTACCCACCCCCAATCCCCACGTCTCTCAACTACTCCCTCGAGTCCACAATAAGTGACCAATTTGCTTTTGGTACGCCCATTAAGAAAATACTAAATTCTATACAAAAATACCTAGTATAACTAAACTACACTTAATTAAATATTTAATGTGAGGAGTAAGAAAATTTTTTAGGGATGTATACATAAGAGTAATTTTGTAAAAACAAATTGAATTTTTTCTTGATTATACAAATGGACACTTATTTTGGACCAAAATAAAAAAGCTTTGGTCACTTATTGTGGACCTGAGGGAGTAATAGACATATAGCGTATCCCATCCCCCACTCCCATGTAACCAATCGCCCAAAATCTCTTTTGTAGAATTTATTTCGAGTTTCACATTCTCTGCTTCTACGAAAGAATTGAGAATTTGGTTGGAATTTCTAGTTGGAAATTGACTTTTATGTAATCTGCTTGCTTGTTAACGAAAGTTCTTTTTTTTAACAATTATAGAGTTAGAAGTAATTGATATTTCGAAACTCCATTGACAACCATTATTCGAAGCTTTGAATTCGAAAATCAAATTCTGAAAAATTATTATTTGTTTGTATT